GTCGTCACTACGAACATTTCATCCGACAGATGAGAAGACAGGCGGTCCCAGAAGTGTGAACGAGATTGCCAGCCAAAGACGACAACGTCAATGTGGTTAGCATTGCCGGCAAAGACAATGGAGACTGGAATGGCCATTTGTAGTTCACTAGCGGTCAATAGCCAGTCGCCCCAAGTATAACCCCATCTGAGGTTCGACCCGCGACGTTGTGATTAGAAGTCTAACGCTCTAACCATTGAGCCACATATACATATGTATATTGCATTGAAAACTCGTCACTGCCTAGGCCTGCCTTGGGACTTTTGAAGTGAGGCACGTAAACTTGTCTGGTTCACGAATTTTAGCAAGTGCACGGTTTCAAAAGCATGGAGGTCGTCTGAGTTTCGAGAATTAATCTAGACTGATGGCAATTTGGGGAAATGTTCCACGGCAGGGAAACTAAGCATGTCTGGTCAACTAACTCAGATAAAATTAATGAACAACAAACATTCGACATCAGTAGCATCAAAAAAACGAAACTTCGCCTCTTCTAAATGTTTAGGGGTGGATTGATTATCAGTCTTGTTCTTCCAGGGATCAGGCAGACGTTTCGCTCTACGAAAACGACAAGGTCAACACATTGCCGTAAAAAAGGAAACAGGTTGGGCATCAGCGTCACTCACCTGGAACATGACCTCGAGCATGTAGTCGATTCGTTTGTCACACTGGCCCTCGTTGAGGATCCTTCGCAGGTGCTCAAAGATGCCAAGTACACCCTTGGGTACAACGCGAGTGAGAAAGGCGCCGCATTCTTTGAGCACGGCCACTGCTACTTCGACACTGTCGTCAGTGGTCTGCTCCAACAGGAGAGTCAACAGCTCAAGCACAATTAGCTCGTGGGCCACCTTCTGGTTGACTAGGTGTGCGAGGAAACGGGCCGTGGAGAGACAACGATCCTTTTGATTGCGCCGAAAGGCCTTCCGGAACTCGTTGATCAGACGCTTTAACAGCAGTTCACCCACCTGCTCGTGAGACAATAAAAACAGTTTGAGGTCTAAATCCATTAGGATTTAAGTGGGTAATAAACACTATTTAGTAGTATTAACAGCATTAGTTGTCGTCGTAATAGTAGTATTAGTGGTAATAATACTAATAGTAATAGTAGTAGCAGTAGTAATGATGATGGTAGTAGCAGTGGTAGTCAAACTGATAGTAATACTAAGATTAGAAATAGTAGTGGAAAAAGCAATAACATTATTAGTAGTGGTACTAGTGTTAGTTGTAATAGTAGTAGCAGCAGTAATAATAATAACAGTAGCAGTGGGAATGGTTGTAACAATAATAGTAATAGGAGTAACAGTAATGGTAGTAGTAGCAGTATCAGTCGTAGTAATAGTAGTATCATTAGTAGTTATAGTTCTACTTGTAATATTAATAACCGTAGTAATGCTAATATTAGTAGTAATAGTACTAGTAATAATAGTAACAGTAACAACAGTAATAGTATTAGCAGTAGATTTGTTCACTACCCTAGACACAATGGTGTTTATTGTATAGGTATGTGCCTAGGACGGATTAGCAGACGTTTTCTATGTTGTAACAACAGTACCAACGATCTACATACTAAGCTTAATAAACATGCATCCAAAGGCTCTAGCACCGACAAATATCATGAAACTACGGTAACATCGAAAAACACACTCAGTAGACAATCCTTGTTGAAAAAAACAAGCCTAATGAGGTTGATTTGTCAGTCGTTCTGTACTTATTAGCCCATCTCCAATAGCAGCACAACCTTTCTAAACGACAGTAAATCACTATATCTTGTTGTCCCATTGGTCTTCAGCAAAATTTTCGGTGAAATGTGTTTAGTCATTCTGAACCTTTTGTGAAACAAAAAGTGTGAATTACCGCGTTAAGGTGTCGTCTCGCAAGGTACAAAGAGAAGTACAGAGTAACAAGTTAAGCTTCACATATCTAACAAAAAGCCATACTACGATCAACTTTACAAACCACACTGCATATTCCCGACGCATGTACTGACCTGGGCACTTGTTTGAATAAATACTTATGTATGATCAAAGTATGTTTCGTAGAACTCCTCAATTTGAGGGCATTGACGCAGGTATCAGGTTAAAATCCTTAAAATATTACGTGGAGGGCCAAAACAAATGTTTGGCGAGAAAAGTCGAGCAAAATATCACCGATAGCGGTCAGTAAACAGAAAAAAATTTACGGCTTGCTCCGCCATGCTGAGTAGGGTGCGCTGACAGGTAATCTGTGCTAGAAAACGGTAAAATGACTCTCTTCACACGAGTGACAACGCTTCTTTGTGAACCAACTGCAAGAACTCTAGTAGATGCTGAATCCCTTCACGAAGGTCACCCAAACACCCTCATTAAGTGTTGCCTCTGTAGGCGCCTAAAGGGGGAGGAAATAGGAGGGAGTCACCAAGGCTTTGGCGATCGAACTCAGAGCTCAGTGGTATCATCTACAGCTTGGAGGCTACTGGGTGTAAAAGAGCCATGTGGAAAAAGACCAACTGGAGGCATGCAAAACCTCTGGTGTATTGATTTAATTCCATGCAGTAGCCGTAGTTGTCATTATATAGGTCAAACCGCAAGACAAACACGTTTACGGATAAAACTTGTAGCAGTAACCAATTGTTCCAAGTCCCTAGCTAAACCCTGGATAAAAACCATGAATAACACTTTGCAGGCTAGTGGGAAAACGGTCGAGAGCTATGGATGGTACATAATCCGAAGTCGGACTAATCCCGACTCAATAGCACGCGCTGCACACTTCCTACCAGATGGTGCATGTATGTATGCATGTAGTGAGGAACATTAAAACTGCCAGGTTGGTGCTGGCACCTCATCACTTCTGATGATGGGCTACTGCAGGGGACCGACTCTGTTTCTCCTTACATGGAAAACTAATGAATCGCAGAGGACTACTATGCTAAATCACCAAAAAACAATTAAGAGCTGTGGTCATGTGAATTAGCAACCAGCAATTCGTAATATTGCCTTACAGTTAAGTTCACACCACACTGTTCAGAGCCAGAGCAAGAATCCGTACCCTTTTCATTCACGCGACCGCTGTTGCAGCCGATGGTGAAAATAATGGTTCGAAGTGAAAGGTTCCGAGAAGCCCCTGCCAACTCATAGCCCAGCAGTCTGGGATAATTTCGATCGACTTAGTCACGCAAGCAACTGTCTGCGGAATACACTGAGATGAGTTTCTACGTTGAGCATTATGTTCCCTAGATTTCTACAATCAAAAGAATCTAACTTATGAACCCTCTCAATTCAGCTGTTGAAGCAGTAATAACAGCATTGGCACAACACCCCCTCTTACTTCTTAGGCTCACATCATAAAGGCACTAAAATGACACGAGTTGGGAGGATTAACTAGGTGTGCATACACAGAGCGAAGTAATATTGACAAAGTCTGGCGATGGGAGGGGTAGTGCGAAGTTGCGCTTGATTTAAAGTATACCAAGACAGCCTTGTACAGAATGTCTGCGATTAAAACAGGTCAGTGAATGAAGCTCATGGATAGTAAGAAAAGCCAGCCATTGCGTTCACACCCATCTTTGTTCGCCTTTGCATTTTTATGCTATTGGAACATGAGCGATGTGCGACTAGGACCTTGGCAGGCAAATTTCGACAAGTTAAGCTAATAGACGGTTTTGTTTATGAGGACGGCCTTCTAGGACTACAAAGTATGGCCTAGGTACCGATTTCTGACCAGTATGAGTCAGTAGATGGTCATACTAAGTGTCCGGACGAGATAAATGAAAGATGTCACGTTAAGATTCGATACCAATATTTTTTCGATTGAAGGCTATCCAACTGACAGTGGACCTCCATATTTTAACCCCTATTCGCCAGCTGTCATTTCAACGTCGCTCGGAGGAACCTGTTGTCCAATAAGTCCGGTTTCGCTTGCCCTAGAGCCATATGTCTGAGCCCGTACCGTGTTAGTATGTAATCGGTCTTCATAAAATTCGAGAACTATGAGAACACAGCATCGCCTTCCAACATTTCCAGTTGACCCCTCTGTTTATGACGTTTAAGGTCACGCCGAAGCTCCAGGAGCAGTTATTCATCTGACAAAAACAATGTCGATACACACGTTTTTAGGTGACGCAGCCACCACAAGTGGAGAAACTGCAATTTCTTACTACACTGAAGTCTGTCGCTTATGGAAGGTAGATGTTCTTGGTGGACAAAGAAATGGCAATGGCCCAGCTCTGTTAAGCGGATTCAAAATGTAATATTCGACCGAAAGCCTATAGATACTCAAAAATACCATCAAAACAGCTCTCATGGACCCATACACATTTTGATAGTTTGACTATTGAAACGTTCGTGGGCAGACGCCGGAGACTAATGCTTTAGTGCCATTGGTGGTGGAGATTCTTGCACAATGCAGTTAAATGCTGCATGCGAGGGCACGGCGTTAACGCTGAAGGACATTGACGTGTTTGTCTCATTCTAGACCAGCCATGACTGCCTAATTCAGATTCAGAAAAAAATATCGGGTTCTGCCATCGAGCAGAAAGCAAGGCATAAAACTATAGCTTGTGAGTGGGACGAAGTTGTGTTCCGTCATCGTATAAGCTTTATAAGTGGTGGCAAACTACTGCACTCAACACGGGATTGCCTTTTTGCCTGGTTCCGACTAAAGCCATGGTTTAGCGCGGTAGACGTTCCTTGAACACAGGGTAACATTAGGTAGCCAGTGTAAAGGCTAAAGACCATTAAGAGTTTGGTGGCCATGTAGTAGAGCTGCCGCTGTCAGAAATAGTCGTGTTTGGAAAAATACAATTCGCCAGATTATCGGGGCTGGCTAGATCAGATACGATCACGGTTATATCAAGCATGCGCAACACTTCTGAAAGCGTGATGTAGTCACGAGATATTTAAGTGCTACTTCTGGAAACCAGTAAGTCTGCTCTTGGGCATAACAGCACGAGCTACTTTAGTCAGGTACCATGGCAAAAGCAAGCCACATCTCCGTTGGGCTGTCAGCGTACGGAATAGCAACTCCATCAACGGGCGCTGTCGCCGAATATTATGCAGATTCACTGCTGTTGTGCTCTGGGCATTACACAGTTTCTTAGATTCAAAGAAAGAACAAAACGCTTTTGAGAGTAGAAAAGACAGGGTCCGTTCAAAAAACATTATTTGTTTGAAGCTCCGTATCCGCATTCGAGCACATAAACAGAGACAGCAACAAATAAGGGTAATGAACGCACAAAGTGGGCAGGATTTATAGGACGCGGCTGTTGTGCAATCACGTATGTATCGTAGCTAGCGGTTTCCGCACTCATTGCCGATCTTCCCGATTAAATCGGAAGCCAACAATTATAAAAGATATACGGCAATACCATATTCTTGCTTTAATTGCTGTGCCCTCCTTTTTCGAAAGTGTCTCCTAAAGCCCCACGTCTTTACTGAATCGTCTTGCAAGTAGCATATTCTGAAAGTGGCGTCCGTTTCTAAGAGTGATACGCTCACATAGGATTATTGAACTGAGTAATTAATTTATTGTAGAAATGCAAACGTGTGCTATTGTACAATGGGCAGTGGTATATTTAGATATTCAGGATTCGACCATTTATTGTAAGGCGAAGATTTAAATATGTTAAATTTAGATAAATATTAGTTGACTGTGTATACGGTGAAAGCCCTGCACAAAAGTTGGATCCAATAAATATAACTGTCTGATAATCAGCATCAAGTAGAATAGAGAACTGACCTGAGGAAACTTCGAGTTGACAACAGCCATCAGCGCCGCAAAAACGTGGGTGAAGGTTGGGGAGGCGGACTGAGACGTAATCAAAGAGCGAACCAGTAATCCACGACCACGAACGATATTTTCGGATAACAACTGGCGAACTACTGACGCGATATTGGAGACATTCACCTTGTTAATAAGACCATGAATTGATTTCTTCAGAGCCTCCCATGCGATACGTTGATAGGCTTCAGAAGATTTGTCTGTAATCCTTGCCTGCATCTGCCGCAAACGGGCCGGTGGAATATATGCCCCTCCCGTGCGGCCATAAATGTCAAGGTCGACATCTTGCTGCGTTGGTTTCTCAACCTGCATCGCAGACCAGGAAAAAAATGATTCCGCACACCCAATACGCGAAATGTGCCATATATTTAAGTCAAATAATTAGTTTAAACAATCCACTCTCAAGGTGCCGATTATAGAAATGGCAGTTTTTTCTATCTAGTTGTTCGTACTAGTTCGGATTTCATTTCATTTAACGATATGCATAAAAAGTGACCGCAGAGTGTAGTTTGGTAGATAGAAATGGAAGAGGGCATTAGGAAAATCGGTAACCAATCACTGCAGCTAATTGCAGCGGATGGACAACGTATGTTATCGGACGGGAAGAAATCGCAGGCCTAGGCATCTCAATACCGGGGTGTATACGCAAACCAGTTGCAAACGATAATACCGGTGTTTCCGCCATCTCAAAGTCCGGTGATTTTAACGAATGTTGAGCTTAAATTTACGAAAATACGTTTGTGTTCGATAATTCTCATCAGGCCTTTGCATTTAAATG